TTTTGTTTACCTTTTTTTGTTTTATGAGTATTTAAACGTTTTGGATATTAACAATTCAAACTCGATGAGATTCAGAGGACATGATCTTGAAACTAGTATCTAGAAATTACGCTGGCAAATGAGAAACCGCCGGCTTGATTTATCCAATATAGCCGGTATAAACACCGGCTATATTGGACTTGTCAACTTATGTCTCAGGATGACGGGCGCAGTGGCAGTGCCCCTCAGATCTTTGCGATTTAAAGCTCTGATGGCACTGCAACTGTTATGGGACAGGCGTGTAGCGTACCATCAGGCGCACGACTTGTTCGTCCCGTCACTTGATATTATAAAAAAAAAAAAATTGGACCACTACTGAGATACCCTTTTTTTAAAATCAGTTCATAAATGTCTGCGTAATCGCGTGACATACACACAAAAGAAATGCAGTCGAATTGAGAACCTCCTCCTTTTTTAAAGTCGGTTAAAACGTGTTTATTTTAAAACTTTTTTTTTTAATTACGCAATCAGATGCCATTGTAGTTTTATACTATGAATGCGTATGTTATTCACTACACAGATACGTATATAATTATCTCATATATACAGTCGGCATCAAGCTTTTGTTCCAATATCGCCTATACGGCAATGGAACAAGATTCTATGGACATTGCAAGAGTCACACTTTTAGTAAAAATTTTTTTTGATAAATATTGTATCGTACATCATTCATATAGCGCTCAAATTCATAATTTAAATAAATCACAATTTTTGCAGCAACTATTTTAATTAAATTAAATCATAATGTGCACACACGTGCACATATTCATAGCCCCGCATTAGGGCAACTCTGTATCACGAGTGCCATGGGCACACACATAGACAACCATAAATTACACCCAAACTTAAAAGAGAGACATAAATGTAGACCAAACAAATATTCCTCCTGGCCCAGGAATCGGACCCGGTACCTCTGGGTGGCAGTCCAGCATAGTAACCATTCGGCCACGGAGGCAGTTAAGTCATGTTTCAATTCACAACCAAACTTGGTTGTGGCCATTGTGATAAAATCAACAACATTTTTCAGTACAGTTAATTTTATAAAAAAAGCATTCACATAAAACCATAAAGAATAAATTTAAAACGTCGAAAAACCACAGGAGGAAAAACTTAATCGCTTAAAAATTAAAACAGACACCGTAAAAGCTTAAAAAATAAAAAACCTAAGACTATCGAGACAATCTTTCAAAACCTATTAAGTTTAAAAGCCGTTTGGTCATTAAACCACGTTTTTTCTTCCCCTTTTCCACCCCCTTGGACACTTTTCATAATTACCGTACTCCCCCCGCCACCGTCTACTTGTAACAAGATGTCGCAGTTGGAAAAAAAAAAACAATTTCGTTTGGCTCATTCGTTTCTTTTAATTTATAACTTTTTAAAAGTATTTTTCTTTGAGTCTACAATTGATTAAAAAGAAAGTGAGCAAGTACGATAAGCTTAATGCAATAAGCTTAATTCAAACTAATATGTTTACAATGGATATAAGGCAAACAATCATTATTATCAAGGCACAGGATTTGTGCCTTTTATGATATTCATGAATGAAATTATACTTTAAATGAGTCGTTTTTTTATCAGCTATGTGTACATCATCAACCCATTTATACGTTCCACCGCCGGACACGGTTCTCCAATCAGGCGAGGATTTCACACATTTTCGAGGTTTATGAACCTTCTTCGACGTGCTGGTTTCTAAATTTCGAAAAGTCAGAGGCGCGAGACCGGATTCGAACCCACGGTATCCGCTTGAAATATCTTACTTATCTTGCGTAATATTCTGTGCATTTGAATTATAACGTTTAAAAAAACGCCACCTCATTTAAAACACTTTCATCCGTAAAGAGTTCATTTTGCAAAGGAACTTTTTCTCGTAATGTATTTTCAGCCAGACACGCTATTAAAAAAACTTAAAAACGATCATGAATTTAAATGTAAAAAAAGCGGCGACTATAAAGCACCCGCCGACACTTTCAGTCCTTACAAAAAACATTTTTTAAACAATATTTATAACAGAGACCGACATGCATGCAAAAAAGTAACAGAACACATTGATTTAGTATCTTCAAACAAAAAGCCAAGTCAGCTCTTTTGTCACAAAAAAAAAGAAAAAACACATGTCGCAAAAGAGCGGACGTCAAAATCGTCTCAATTTCGAACGAAAAAACAATGTGATTTGAATTTTAAATTTGGAACGCGGTCATTTTCTTTGGATTTTTTCGCAAAGCGTCCGTGTAATAAATCTTTTGGCAATAACGATAAATTCATTGCGGATCGACATGCAAATGTAGATTTTTTTCGACATAGCGTATCAAGAACGTCGAAAATAAAATGTGCTAAGACTGCATAGAGTAGACAATGAGACTAAGTTATTTGACGTTGTAGGTAATAACTACCGTATTTTTACTACCCTACTTGTATGACAAACTTACAATCGTCATTTTTTTTATAAAAAATTATTGTGCCTTAGACTTACATCCCACTTGATGGAAAGTGACAATAAGGTCCAGAATAGAGCATGCACATAAATGATGCCTATTTACTCTCGCCTTGAAAAGGCCCAAGTTATAGCGTTCAGTAAGGCTAGCACGACAGGACGCTACTTGCGCGAGATCGACTTAAAGCGAGAGATACTACTATTCTCAAATAGAGATCTCTGTAGGCGAGGATTTTTTATTTATAAAAAAACTGTTCCAATATTCGACATTTTAGATTACGAACTGAAACTAAAAAATATATAAATGAAGATATATATATATCTATACCAAGTATATACCATCTGTATTAATCTTAAAGACAGAACGCCGAACGTAAGAGAGCGTTATGGTATTAAAGATGATATAGTGACCGGGATAGAGGGGGATGCTTCATGTGAAAAGAATGAATGTTGGTAGATTGACGGCATAAATTCATAGAGTGAATATGGATGGAGAGGTACACCTCGGCGTACAAATCTCAAATGGATTAGGAATGTCCTTAAAAAGGCCGGGTTAAAAATGCCAAAAATAAACGGGCATTTAAGAAGAGACTGGTGGAGGTCAATGATCTCTGCCTACCCCGGTGGGAAACAGGCGTGATGGTATGTATGTATGTACCTGTGTATGTATAAATGAACTTATTTGTCAAAATAAATAGTACGAAAGTCAACTCTAAACATTCCCTGTTCAATTCAACCTCAAAAGATCAAGTACTGACTCGCTCACAACGTTCAGTTTTATTTTGTCGAGTGTACTTTTGGTACGTCCTGTATAATACGGGTGAACTTGTTTTTTATCAACCTGTACGTTTTGCATGTTACTTTTGTTCTCTACGTTTTGGGGTAACTTAATTTGTGGTTAGGTATTTTGTAACGTTTTAGATACACAAAACGAGAAAGTTTTACTTACTTTATAGCATACTCTGAAGCTGGTTATTTAGTTTTATTTATTTATTGAGCATTCAGAGCCATCAGCTGCAAAAGGTAGCAAATAATTAAGAAACTTAAAACATAAGTTACTTAAAAAAAATGTAATTCGTGTAAAAACAGTCGGTAACTACAAAAGTCGCCATTTTTCTCTGTATTGATTGTTTTTTATAATTTTTAAAGAGTTTTTAAGTTATCGCGATTGTTACACTATGTCACTCGTGTAACCTACCATAGAACTTGCAAAGAATCCGTAACGTTGATTTGTTTAAAATACAAATCGCGATTTATGTCTGAAAAAACATGGTCATTTTTTTATTGTAATGCACGTCAATTAATATTGACATTATATAAATATTAACACTGGTACCCACTCACGTTTTTTTTTATACTTTAACATTATAAACAGTACGAATTTAATTATAAATAAATAACATTGGTAAATTTATTTATTGTTCGCATTTTTCTTTTTTTTCCTTTTTTTGCCTTGAAAGTGAAGCCGGTGTACGTTCAAATCAAAGCTGGTTTTCTTTGTACCTGTTTTATTAATAAATACAGTAATATTGATTGATTTTTATGAAAATATGTTTTTTATAGCAATTTTAAACAGTTTAATACAAATTTAGTAAATTGACTAATATCGGTTTTAAAAAATCGCTTTTAAAACAACATACGTACATCTTTAGATGTGATATTCTTTATTACGCAGATACATTATAATATTGATTTCATTTGTCAAGTATCTTTTACGTTGAATCATCAATATTTAAAAAAAGTAATCGATCGAAGTCAATATCCTTCCAGCCACGTTGTTTTTGTTTCCGCGCAACGGATCATTCGGTGTTCAATTTTTTTTAAAAAGAAGACCTTACGAAATGCAGATGTTCCGCAAATACAGTACTTACAATACTTCCTGAGTAATGCACCATACACCACCTTTTACGCAGATGCTTTTCGAATTTAAAAAAAAGAACAAAATCTCGATTAAATAAATTGTTAACACGCCCAAGGCGTTTTTATCGTAGACTTCGTTTTTATTCTATGCGAAAAAACATTGTAATGAATGCTATAGATCGCTATTTTATAGTTCCTGTCGAGTAAAAAGACCCTATCTGACTGTAGAAGCGCTTCCTTTGCCACCCGCTGCTAGGTATTAGATAATATCTCTTTAAAAATAAATTACGCTAGTCGTTTTGTAATGAGAATGTAAAAAATAAACGCTAGGTTAGATAGAACTGTTAAAACTCACCTTATAATATAATAAAATAAGAGTAATTGGTATTAAACCAATACCCCAGTTTGTTAGAGGAACTGTTTTGGCCGCTACATTAAAACGTCTTCAATTTACAAACAGTTTAACAACTAACAAAAACGCCAATCTTCTAAAGCTACGAAAGGTTTAAAAAATTATATTCAACAATATCAAGTTTGAAAATTTTATTCCAAATTTAGTTTATTATTTTTGAAAGCGAATAAAAAAATATTAAAACGAAAAATTTAAAAATAGATCATCGAACGTATCGACCGCCACATGTCCCCTACCCTTGGAAGATAACAATACGCATTGAAACAGGTGCCAACTCACTCGCTGCAGTGTCGACCAGCACTCCTCCAGCGTTCGCTCGCTGATGCTCTGCCCGGATCTCGCTTGTTGCTGTAAACGAATTACAAAATTACTTTCCAGATTCCTTTAGTAATTCTTTTTTGTAAAACACACTCGAATATTAACAAGTACAGTCAATATAACCCGCTACTCCCTAACTGCCGTATCTCACGTTTGTGTCGTAACTAAGTAAGTCGTATTATCTTACGCAGCTTTCAAACGCTAACATCTACTACCTCGTAACTCTTTGTCAGAATATGTATGTATGCTCAGAGGATTTTGTACAAAGCTTGTTACGACGTATCGAGTTTTTATACTTCGTTTTTTTTTTGCTACCATTTGGAGTACATCTATTGGCAAATGCTTTCACCACAGTAACAAGCATTATAGTGTATACGATAATAAAGCATTAGACAGAAAAAAAATTTGGGATTTTTATCATGCGCCATTTCATTCAGTAATTTTGTAAACTAAACAATTTAATAAATAGAGTAAATCAAAATTCTCAAACATATTTGCTCCCTTTACGTTATTTTTACATACTTAATCCATTTCAAAGACTATACAATACTTAAAGAAACAGAGGTTGCAAACGTTTTTATCGTGTCATTTGTAATAGTCGTAAAATTGTCACCATATTTTTCTTTACTGTAATTTGTTGCCTAAGAAAAGGATTACGATCACCACTTCTTTGTTTACATTTTTTGTAAAAAAAAACGAAGTATAAGTTTGATTGATACACAATGAAAATGAAACAATTTTTGTCAGTCATCGGTGACCATGTAAAGAGCTAAAAATGATACCTTATTTTAAACGACATGTGAAGAGGCATCTTGTAGGCATACAGGGTGGAAGTGGCTAGAACAGTGATTGTATCAGCACTGCACTAGGTTCCTTCACGTTTGGACTCCACTTTCCATTTAATATCGGGTAGAGTCAAGATATCTGTCTGACACGTATTAAGAAAAAAAATTAAGACCGAAAAAATTGTTTAATTTCCAGTTTGTTACGGTAGTTAGGAGAGAGATGATACGTCATCTATTCGTAATTAAAATTGTATGCGTGTTTTACAAAAAAAATAAAAAAGAACGTTAGTAAGGTATAAATAATTTTTAACAACAGAAATTGTTAACATAGAAATGTATAGAAGTGTAGAGTGGTTAGAGCAGTGACCTTTATTTCCAATATTTACATAATATTTTCGTATAGACACTACTATGTTTTATGGTATCATGAAGCTCACTGTAGAAAGAAAATGTTCTAGTCTTTATGGAAATATATATTACGTGGCAATGTTATTTCAAATAATAAACAATGTACAAGACCATCACACCTAATACCTAGTCTCAATCTAGGATACCCTATAAGCGCTCAGAACATCCAGTACAGTACTAATTTACAGAAATCAATTTCCAAATTGGTCCTTCCGGGAATCGAACCGGGAGCTTCCTCATCTAGTGCCAACCGTGCTAACTGCTAGACCACCTAGGTGTTCCTGTATATATATATATATATATATATATATACACACACACACATACATATATATACAATAAACAAATCGATTACGGGTCATTCTCGGACTAGTATTCACTACCTAATTTCGTGGCAATTTTTATTATTTATATAATCAAGTATATTATCGTGTAGTTATCAAATAATATTTCACGATACAACACTCGAATATTAAATAATATTGCACGATAAAAATATCGAATACTTAAATAATAAAAAAATCCCACGGAAATTAGGTAGTGACACTAGTCGGAGAATGGGTTACAAGCCCTTCGTAGACAATAAGAAAGATATCATTGTTCTTTGTCGTCGAAGAATGAAGCAACAAAATATTGTTATTAAAGGTTGGAGCCCATTAGTCAGCACGCTTTAGCACTGCGTCCATACTAAACAGTAGTTTGGTCTTCCCGCTTTAAGCATCAAGCATTTAAATAAACTCCATATAAGACAGGCGTTGATTACGAACGCACAGTGCTAAAGCGTGTTGGTTAATGTTGTAATAATAATAATGTTGCTTCAAAGTTAATAAACGCCAAGATAAAATACATATACAGGTTGATTCGTAAATATTGATACTAATAACCTCACATTACTAAATTACTAACATCATAAATAGGTAACTTTTGTTCCATGACTTTTAGTAATTTATCAGATTTTGCTGTCATACAAAAAAAAAACATTTAAATAGATCGCACTTAACAGCCATGCCTCTGTGCGATAGCAAAACAAAGTACACACCACCAAAATTATTTTTATGAATCATAGCACAGCAAAATCACATGTACGTGGGAAGTGTTGCTAAATAACTTACTACCAAACACAGATCTAAAATGTGTTAGATAGTACAATAAAAAATTAAAAATTTATTTTTGGTAAATTTGCTATGTGTTTATATCTTCGATCCGGCCGATTGTTTTTGGTTTTTAACGACTTTTTTTGTCGTAGCGTTGCATAGCGTCTAGCACGGTTTGCTAGGAGACGTTGGTTCGAATCCTTCGAAATCTTTGTTTAATAATTATAGCAAATTTACTATGTTTTGTCAAAAAAATGGTATAGAAGTTGTTGTTTAACAATATATATCCTGCTAGATTGTTAGTATTTTACAAACAACTCTGTATATAGGTACTGTAAGGCTCAATTTATATTGCGGCGGAACAAAATGGAAGCGAATTTTAATAGCAGAAGAGCTCTTTGTGAAAGCGTTCGTTCAGGGAAGTACTACCACCTTACCTATTTCTGCCGTCAAGCAGTAATGTCAGCATTACTGTGTTCCGGTTTTCGAAGGGTAAGGGTGCTGGTGAAATTACAGGCACATGGGACTTGTCTACTTATGTCTCAGGGTGACGGGAGCAGTGGCAGTGCCCCTCAGATCTTTGCTATTTTAAAGCTCTGAGTGTCACTGTAACTGTTATGGACAGGCGTGTAGCTTACCATCAGGAGCACGACTTGTTCGTCCCGTCATTTAATGTTATAAAAAAAAGAATTTTTGTAACGAAATTGTTCATAGCATGATGAACTTTATGGTTAATTGTATAACGTACAAATTAGATACGAGCCTAAATCTTCTGCGGCATTCTCGGGCGTGCGCTTCCATTCCCTTCCACCGCAAAATAAATTGAACGGAAGAATGAACGAATAATGCGGTTTACAACTTTAAAGTCAATACAAAGGTCTTTAACATATACATAACACATAAAATGTGCTGATTCTGTTTAGAACTCGGTTGGTTAAGAACGGTGGCCCCGGCATGGCAACAGAAGCTGGTTCGAAGCCAGTCAGATCGGAGGAATTTTTCTTTGTCTTCTATCTTTAAGAATATTTAGTACCTCTTTCCGCCTACAAAGTAATAGTCTATATATATACAGACAAATATAATAAACCATTGACTAACTTCAACTAATACACATAGAGTTAATAGCACCTCTTAATTTAGAAAAGTTGGTTTTCTAAATTGGTCCTACCGGGAATCGAAACCGGGACCTCAGTGTATACTACACTGCCAGATCTATTTGTAAAAAAGGTAAAAATGTTATACACATTATTTTCTCTGAACAATATAATTATAACTTTTTTATAAAAAAACAGACCTCAAAAGTTTGCTTAACCGCTTTCGCTGTGTTCGTTACATCTATTTGCCAAGTTTTGTTGAAATCGGTCATCCCCTACTTTGCCATCCTTAAAGGTGAAATATTTTCTTCAAATTTGAATGAGACCACAACTGAGATACCCTTTAAAAAAAACTTGAAGAAAAAACATAACATGATTGTCATTGCAGTAAAACAGCGCTGACTCAGCATATGCCAAAGTTTCCAGAGGCGCTGGTTTTCAGTCAGTACTAATGAGAGGGAGTAAGTTATTTGAAAGCAAAAATATAACGACTATGCTTAAAGTTATACATTGAGAATAATAATATACAAAGTACTCCCTATCTCTATACCTAAATTAACCTATTTGATATGTAAGTGTATACTAAATAATAAAGAGGTTTTAATGTCGTATAATGTCCTTTTCGAAGTCGGTTAAAAACTATGATACATACATACATATACTTTACGCTTTTTCCCATCGGGTTAGGTAGAGACAACAGTCTCCCATTTGCTACGGTCCTGACACACATCTTTCGCCTCATCTACACGCATCCGTGCTTTCATACACGCTCGTCGGTTAAGGTTTTTGATCTGGTCCTTCTTTAGGATGGCCTCAATATGGTCATGGTAAATTCGTCTTGGTCGGCCCTTACCGATTTGCCCGCTCACACTCGCCTTGTCAATCTTCTTTCATTCATTCTCTCTACAGGTCCGGACAGTCTAAGCATCCCTTTCTCTATCTTTGTCACTACATCGTCTTCCATGCCGCAACGTTCGCTTATCACACTGTTCCGTAATTTATTTACAAGAGTCACTCCAGCCATACTTCTCAAAGCTCTCATTTCTACTGGTACTGCTATGAAAACTATGATATTTCCTTAACAACATGTAACCCGATTGGTGGTAAAGTTAATGTGTGTTAAAAAAATTAGACACAGATCACAATGTGACAAAACCTTAACGAATAGTTAGTACATTAAAAAACAGGTTAATTTTGACATCTAAAACATTAGGTCATAGTCGAGTCAAAAATCATTACAAATAATTTCACATGCGACTTTTAAAGAAAATTTATTAATAAGAAATAAAAACTATTGCCTCAAAGAGCCCATTGGTGCACGAGTCGTAAAATCAGTTGAACATAACGACTCGATCTATTTTAATGCCGTTTCCGTCATTGGACATTGAATTAGGATATACATAGGAGATTGTCAGAATTGCACATTGTTCAAGAATTCAGTCATAAAAAATATTATCGTTTAAAAATTTCGTAAACTTTTATTAATTTGAATTTGGAAGATAATCTGTGTCATTAGAAAAAAACAGTAAGATGCATAAAATTCTAAATTTAAATTCTAATATGATAATAAAAACTAGAATCGTGCCTATCGATTAGTTTCCATAAAGACTAGTGAAGTGAAAGACGAAAGAAAGAAAAAAATAATTACATCGATATTCAGGTTATTCAGGAAATTTACCAAAGCGAAGGGCAGCATTGCGTTCCGGTCGCCCATTGGGGCCTCGCCCGATGGCGATTGCTGCTGTGGCTGCGTGCAAACAATTACGTTTTATTAGATATTGAAAAAAAAACTTTACTTAGATGAACATTGTGAAATTAAACTGTTTACGTAAATAGGTTAAAATGTGACTAATTCTATAGCATTTAAAGAATTTGAAAATATATTTTGGAACATTGAGGTGATATTAAGACTAATAACGATAAGTAATTACCATTCATAATGTAAAACAAGAATTAAAGGAGAAAGAAAATAGACGAGAACGTTACAAAGCAACAACGCAGCAAATAAAATCATATTGAGCATTTTCAAGCCTATAAGTCCAATAACAGAAATAAGTAAAAAATAACTATAACGATAACGCAAATACGAATTCGATGTAAAAACTTTTATCTTACTATTTTATTTAAAAGCACGATAAAAATTCATACAGTGACATATGGGTACAGCACTATGATTCCGGAATGTTTTAATGCAAAATCAAAAACAGAACTTACCTTTTTTCAGAAACATAATATTGTTCTACACAACACTCACGTGCACATGCAATTGCGAATGTTATTTTTTTAATATTCAAAATTAGAACAAAACCGTTACGGAAAATTAGTTTAAAAATTGCAACATAAAAGGTGTTAAGGCGCACTTCACACATAAATTAAAATGTTAAAAAAGTTTTAAGGTTACAAACGAAAAACAACCCACAAGACGACATTTAGATGTTATTAAAAATTATTTACATCGATATTATTGAGTGATGATAGTAAATTTACCAGCGCAAATGGTACTAGCGATCGTTCGCTCATTGTAGAATCAGCTGAAGGAGACTGCTGTTGTTGCTGTCCCATTCCGATGTACAGAGACGGCGGCGTGAAAGAAAGAGACAGCGATATCAGATCCTTGTGCCAAAATTTTAGAGAAACACTTCTTAAGTTTTTCGAAATAATATTGTTTTTCCGCGGCATCATGCCAGCTCGAATTTATTTTGTTAGGGATGTGTGTTTAATTCTGAAATATATTATTTTTATTTCAAACCCTCGAATCTACAAGAGTCTGTCAAATAAAAATATTAATAAATCAAATTTTAATTAACCGTTGTTAAAAAAAAGTAACCACAACAGCGCAACACTTCAGCGTTGAACCGTTAAATTTCTATTTACGGGAAAAAAACAGAATGAATACGCAACACGAACAGGATATCAAAACCGGTTCGTTATTCAAACAATTCTTTAAAACAAAAAATAAATGAAATGAGAACAGATTCACAGTAACAAATAACTGTCAACACCCCTTCGCGAAACAAAATGCGACAAAAAACAAAAAAAAAACAAAATCACAACACCCTAATCCCATGCCGTGGGAATAGACAAATGCAAGAGGTGAGCGAATCCGAAACTAATTTAAAAAGTAATATTCGTGCCTCTTTTGTTTTTAAAATTTGAGTTAAAGAATAGAGCTACCCCATTTTAAAAACCCAATAGAAACTTTGCGGCCAGGCACTAAATCCGTTCGGATTTAACAAAATTTTAAATTACAACGGAAATCAAATATTAAGAAAAATATCGGTTCACCGAGACGTCAACAGAATAATTTTAAAGCCATATGGCTCAAAACAAACATTTGTCGGTGTCAATAAAAAAATAAAAAGAAGTGAAATCGAAAGCCGCGGACATGTTGATCACAAGCTAATGTTCGAATAATAGAATTATCACAGATTATTGTAATTTACATATCCTTTGTAAAACCGGATGCGACATAAGGACAAAAACGATTTAATAATAAGTTTGACGCAAGGTCTTTAACCCTTTCTTGGATTAACAAAAGGCACACAATATGTTGCCAAGGCTTTTTTTATCTTTTTTAAGGAAGGGATCAAAGTTGAAACGAGTTTTTGAGACTCTTGTAATTTCTTGAGGTCAGTTGATCAACACACTTGGTAAAGGACACACGCTCACGATTCGAAAATTCAAATTTAGAAATCAGTTTTTAAATTATTATTTTTTGAATTCTATTTTCTTTTCTTTTGGCTTGTGTTATTGGTCTATAGTGCAGTGAATTAAAAAAAATAACAATTTTACAGGTATCCATCTAAATCGAAACATTTTAAAAAAGTACTTTGTTATTTTGAAATGTCATATTTTAACAGTTTTTGCTTGTCTATATTTGTAAAGGAATTGAAATTGACACTGCGCGTTACATTTCTTAAATTTGTAAATGAAAACTATCCTGCCGTCGGCTCCCAAACTATTACCAAAAGCTCTCTATTTATAAACGCACCGTTTAATAAGTATGTCTTTTATCTCTTTATTTCTTTTATCACTTTTTTAAACACCTCGTATTTGTCTTTTATATGTTACTTATTTTAAATTAATGTTAACGTTTAGCATATATAGTTTTACAGTAATAAATCGCAAAACTCAATGTGAATTTTCCACTTTTTTTTTTAAATTTTAGACAGCACTAAATTTTAAAATTACCATAAGAAAAGATCTGGAAAATGTATTTTTTTAAAGTTTTCACTCACCTGTATTTCATTGACGAGTTTTTCAGCAATCATTTTGTTATGATCTGGTGTTGCAGGAGGCTGCGGAGTTGGAGGCGCTGGACCCGGCTGTCCGTGGGCCTCTGGCAGAGGTTCCTGAGCCGGAGAGGTCGGTCGGCTGCGGTTCCAGAAGTCCTGCATCTTAAACCGCTGCGCCTCTGCGGCGGCTGCCTGCTGCAAGGCAGGGATGTGCAGCGACAACGGCGCCGCGCGTAAATCCAAAGCGCTGCCAGAAGAGGCCTCATTGTTCCCTTCGGCTGCAGTCATCTTAAACGAGTTCTGCAGCCAGTTTGTCACGAAGTTGTCTTCTTCTTTAGGAGGGTCTAGCAGCCGAGGGAACGGCGGCGCGGCGCCCGCCTCGTACGCGCCCTCGCCGCCGCCAACTGGCTCGCCTTCCTCCGCTATTTTCGGAACTTTCGCCTCCCTCGGTGACCCCTCCTCTACCTCCGTCTTCCGGTATTCATGGAGGTCCCTATACCTCTCCTGCAGCGCTAGGGATATATTCTCATTGAAGTATTTCAACATTAATTCCAGCTTCGAGCGTATCGTCACAACGAACTCATGCGATCTCTCGCGTTTTTTAAATTATCTTCTCTAAACTCTTCTATTGCACTTTCCCTAATTCCGATGTCTTCGTCGATACCGCGAATCTGCAAACAGAAGTTGACCCCGGCTTCAGTCCCGAAACTGTCCAAAAGCGCGCGCGAAATTCGAAAGTTACGCGAGAATTTTCCGAAATTAATTTTGGGGTTTCGCGGAAAATTTCAAAGTCACCCCCCGGGAAAAGGGAAGCGGACCTTCTTGAGACGCGGGCGGGCGACGACTAACTTCTTGGTGGAAAACTTGAGCGTCGCGACGGTTTCTTGCGGGGTGGGGCGGACGCGCGCGCCGGCCGAAGACGCCGCTCCAACTAGCAAGACGCGGCGCCGCCCCCGCCGCCTTAGACGTCGCTAAGAACATCCCCACCGTCGCCGGGCGCACGCGCCCCGCGTTTTTTCCGCGGAAAAATGCGTCCGGTCAAGGAAAAGACGGCGCGGCGGCGAGCGGCTGCCGGCGTGTGCCGCACGCCCCGCGCCCGCGCCCCCCGCGCTGGACATGAGCGCGATTTCCCAAAATCACATGACGGACCGCTCGGACCGCGGCCGAAATAAGAACTATTTATTAAAAGGGCGCGAAGGACACGTCGCCCCTCTCGCTCGCCCGACCCTGTTCGAGTCCCACCCTTGCGTGTTAGAACGAGACGGTTAGCCCACCGGATTTTTTCTAAGCCGTTATTAGTGAGGGAGGAAATGGAAAAGAATGGGCTTCTTTGTGATTTTTTCTTAATGGCATCTTTCTCGCTCGCACTCGTATGAATCGTATATGTTTATCTCGTGTGAATTTTTCGAGGATTTCTTTTCGCTACGCCTCTTTTACTATTGTACTTTTATTTTTTGCTCAGGCGGAGCTTAGCCTATGGGGTTTTAGCCAACGAGGGTTAACACTCGCATTTTTCCTGGTTTACCTAAACTTGGGAAATGGACTTATTCCACTTTTTATGTCTTCGTACTGTGCTCCTATTGGGCAGGCCTAAGAAACGTTTTTTTTAACTCATCTTTTTAAACTACATAGGCATATCTCATCACTAAAGTCTATCTATTTACAGGTACTCTGCATTCAAGAAAACAAATTGAAAACGTATTCTTCAGTTTTAAAATAAAACGGAAGGTTCTTATCTCGATACAAGAAGGTTTTCATTTCAACCCTTCAGAGTGAATCTCAAGAAATGTTTCGTTTCGCTACCCTCTCATAGATGGCGTAGATGGTTAGAATTTTCTGACATTACAGAATCTATTTCAGTTTTTTTTAATTTAACTTCTAATAACGATGTTATTGTTATTAATTATAATTTACTAATAAGTAATACAAAATTAAATTAATTATTAATGCATAACGAGTTCTTAGGTTTTCGCGATTGTTACACATAGGAAATGAAACTATTTTTCCGGATTTAAATCGCGTATATTTGTATTTTCAAACAAACCTTTTTTTGAAACCTTTTTTTTGGTTTGTTTGAAAAAACAAATATACGCGATTTAAATCCGGAAAAATAGTTTCATTTATTAATGCATAATTTTCTTTCTCTGCATACTCTAGCAGTTTGACGGGAAACAATTTTTTTTTAAATTCTATTTTCAAATTCTAAAGCAAATTACTGTACTATGTCAACATGATTGAAATTAAACTTTTAATCACAGACGATTGAAAAAAAGAATTACATCTCGAATTAATTTCAAAAATAAATTAAAACAAATTCTACAGCTAACAATTATAGAATGATAATACTATGCCTAAAGGTAATTATTGCTACTTAGGTCCCCGCTTAAATACCTAAGTAAGCTAGTAATAATGACAGGCGGGGCTTGAGGTGTTTCACGGTGTGTGAACAATCAACAATCATGTTGTATGGAAGGGGGAACCATTTGTATGAATTCGCTGTAAGAATCTTTTTTTGTAATGGCTCGTCTTGTTGATTATGTCATGTGGTATTCGCAGGAACGTTTTGCTTCCTCCATCCTAATGCATACTGTACGAATGAGATTCTCTACCTACTACCTGCGTGTCTGAACAATTTAGGGCCATCCAAAAGGTAAATAGGCATTTTTTAAACCATTCACTAGTCGATCTGATTGAATGAATTAATTAATATTTTCTCACAGATGGCGCTACGGCAAAAAAAAAAAAAACAAAAATCTGCAGCACGCACACAGAATTAGAACTTTAAAAAAACCGACTTCAAAAGTTCGTAGAACTACACCTATTCAAAAAGTATTAATGAAATCGGTGACCGGAAATTCTCGCACTTTGAGACAAATACTGAGGTACCTCTTTCCAACAAAAAATTAAATTGCAAAAATCTGAGTTGGACTACCTCTGCACCCGTCACCCTGAGACATAAATTGATAAGTCCCATGTGCCTGTAATTTCACCAGCACTCTTACTTACCCTTCAAAACCGGAACACAGTAATGTTGACATTACTGCTTGGCGGCAGAAATAGGCAAGGTGGCATTTACTACCCTGGACGAACTCTCTCACAAGGTACTCTACTGCTTCGTAAGTTTGTTATAGATCCAGTTGTTAAATATATTGTTTATGATACATACTACAAGTTAAATATCTAAAATTCTTTTTGAAATTTACTTAAAGCTTTTCGGTTGAGTTTTGATGGTAACCATGATGACATGACCAAAAGTGGACTAATGGACTATTGACAACGGTTGATCATTATAAATATCCTTATGTAAGTAACTATGTAAAAAAATATTAAAGACGTTAAAATAAACTCAATTTACAATCTAAGGTTCATATCTCAACGTGCAAAGATGAACCAAGGGGTGAGTTAACTCTGCTTATTTAAGAACCTTTAAGCGAGGGTTTGTTTCTAAGTTAAATAAGATAACTGTACAAGTTGCCCATGCTGTATTTAAAAGTATTTAATAGAGATATGTAGTGTTTTTTAATTGTGTTATAAAACTGTGTTATGATTTTATAATTTTATTCTAGTGTTTCTGTTCATATGTGAGAAGGTTGTTAATATTTGCGCCATGGGTTCGTGTCTAAGTTAAAAATATTTACGTAGTTATAACCTTTAGTTAGAAAAAAGAAAATGGTCGTGGAAATTGTACATGAATACATATTCAAAATTCATAGGTATTAAATTGATTACTACAAAAATTTAAATAAATTTTCGCGTGCAAAATCACACAAAAGCGGAAAAAATATGAAAAAAGTAAAATGAAAAAAATATGTATATAAAATTGGGTAAAAAATAAAGTCACTTGTAACCTTACGTCGAAAGTGCTTTTACCACATGACAGCAAATGTCAGCATTACTGAAGGACACCCAAAGTAGAACCAATTTATTAAACAAAGTTATTTTCCGAATTTGTTCTTTCGGGAATCGAACCTGGTACCTCCTCATCCAGCGTGCACAGTGCAACTGGACCACTGAGGTCGTCAAAGTAATTCTATAGAGTAAAAGGAAAATTACATTATGATTGAATTATATACCAATACGTGCGGTCAGATTTAGTGATTCGGTCGAAATCATATGACTCGTGCTACATGTGCCATGGAAAGACTCGATATTTTAAGCATAATGGTGGACTGACGTGTTTGTCTTCACAAAAATAACGACAATAGGCGACAAAACAAAATAATCACATCCGGGGTGAAGATCTCTTATATTTTGAGCCTTATGTGTTTTTATTGTGTTTTTATTCTTTTCGTTTTTAATCAGGTAATTGTATTATATTAGAAAATATTTATTATTCTCAACGATTACTGGTTATGGCAAAATATTACGAAGGGCAATATATACTTCATAATTCTCTATAGCTGAGGCATAGACCCATTTGAAATGTTTGTGTTCGCCTTTTGTCTATTGTACTCATATGTATTGCGTATCAAACAAAGCAATAAAAAAAACTCTAAAACCATGCGATTTTAAGCAACGATGCAAATGAGATGCTGTAGCGACGCAAACGCGATACACGTTTTAAATTAAGGAATTTATTTTCTGTAATTTATTTAATAATTTCACCTTTAAATTTACAATTAATAAAACAAAATAATGCGCATAAACCTATACAGGTTTCTTGTACATAATTATTAAATAAGATATAAGAGATTGTACATGCAGTCGCGCGTTTGCATTGATGCAGTCGCGCGTTTTACGCGACGAGATAAAGACAACAGAAACGCAAACGAAGGGTGAGATGGAAAGGGAAGAAGAAGAAAGTATACTTCAGAATATCAAAAGATGATACTGAAGTTAAAAAAAAACAGAATTAACTTTTTCTTTTTTTATGAGGGCAAGTGACGGGACGAACAAGTCGTGCGCCTGGTGGTAAACGACACGCTTATCCATAACAGTTGCACTGCCACTCAGAGCTTTAAATCGCAACGGTTAGTGTCAGTGCGCCCTTCACCCTGGAACATAAGTTGACAAGTCCCATGTGCTTGTGATTTCACCAACACCCCTTGCCCTTCAAAACTTAAACGCAGTAATGCTTACGTTACTGCTTTTTGGTAAAAACAGGTAAGGTGTCAATATTTCCCTCGACGAACTCTTTCACAGGGAGCACTACGGCTACTAAAATTACGTAGAGATAATATTGTTAGTAAAAGTATTTTCACAATTGAGCCCCTTTTTTAAGTACCTTCACACAACTACTCTTGTAAATTAGGTCGTCACTACACGCACGTATAGTTACGAGTAGATATATTAGTTAAGTTACGAGGTAAGTTACGAAATAAACCGCTTAAGGTAGAAGATTTATTTATAAGAATAACGCCCCACGCCATGAACTCAAGTTGACATTTTAAATATTTCGTACTAACTTTCAAATGTCTTTAACGTTAACTTGCGTTTATGTTATTTAGAAAACTTATTTTTTGTCTTTCATGCAGTTCTTTTCAGAAACAGCATCTATTGGCACCATGAAAAAGGAAAGCGAGTCATTATCATCGTCATCATCATCAACCTATTTATACGTCCCGCAGCTGGGCACGGGTTTAGGGCATAGTCCGCCACGCTGGCCCAATGTCACACGTTTTCCGAGGATCGTGCATATAAATACTTTCTCTATTATTATTACAACAAATTATGCAACTCGTCTGAGATAGTAGCGGCGGCGAGACTAACAAGTCGTACGCCTGGTGGTAAGCGACACGCCTGTTCATAGTAGCAGTAGAGCTCCTTGTGAAAGAGTTCGCACAGGGAAGTACTACCACCTTACCTATTTCTGTCGCCAAGCTGTAATGTTAGCATTACTGTGTTCCAGTTTTGAAGGGTAAGGGTGCTGGTGAATTAGCAGGCTCGTGGGACTTGTCGACTTATGTCTCAGGGTGTCGGACGCAGTGGCAGTGCCCCTCAGATCTTTGCGGCTTAAAGCTCTGAGTGGCACTGCAATTCTTCAATTCACGAGCACTTACCAACCTTTTAAAACTAAAATGCAGTAATACTGACAATACTGCTTGGCGGCAGAAATAGGTAAGGTGGCAGTACTTTCCTGGACTTTTCAATACCCTAGACCCTTGTTCACTTGTATTTTTGAAACAATTTTAATTTTATTTTATTCGACAAGCAGTAGTTATACTACTTTATTTTATATTCATTATTATTATTATTATTTTGTTACTGACGATCATAGTTATCCCTTGACATTGTATTTCCAATTGTAATATTGTGACATTGATAACATGAAATAAACGATTCTATTGTATTCTATTCTATTCTATTCTATATATGGTTTTTGTTCATATTACATTTTTTTATTAATTTATTGTTTTTGATTTCAAATTAATCTACATTTACGTTGTTTCTGGAAGCTGAGTTCACTTATAATTATTTGTACAATTAAAAATTAAAAGTTTGTGGAATTATATCTATTTGCCCAGTTTTCTGCCTTAAACTGCCTCTGTGGCCGAACGGCTACCATGCCGGACTGCCACGCAGAGGTCCTAGGTTCGATTCCCGGGCCAGGAGAAATATT